GATAGACGCTTTATCAAGGAGAAGTTGATAGATGGATTAATTTGCACCCCGTTTGTGAAGATAGAACATCAGCTTGCAGATTTTTTGACAAAGGGAGTGTCGAGTACGACTTTCAATTTGACACTTGACAAGCTGGGCATTCGAGACATCTATGCTCCAGCTTGAGGGGGAGTGTTGGAAGATATATATTATTTCCCTTGATTTTAGGGATTTGATTGATTTCTGACTATTGTAAATTAGAATAAGATTGTAGGACAGATTGATTGCAGTAAATTAGGATAGATTGATTGCTTTAAATTAGGAACAAATTTGTAGGAATATTTTTTATTCTATTCCTTGTATCGCTTTCCCTCTTTCCTATATATACTTGTACAAGATGTTAACATTTTGTCTACACCTCTTAACATTTTGTCTCAAATTAAAAAAAAAGAAATCAACAAATAATCCAAATCCAACAAAATAACTGACAACAAATATTTTTTTCTCCTAAGTAATTTTTCATTACCCAGAAAAACAAGAATACAAGGCAAAGAGAGAGGGCATATCCTCACTTAGCAATTGAGAAAGACCATTTCCTGGACCCAGAATTAAGAGAGAAAATATGGAAAAAGACCAACACTTGAGACTGCTTTAAACCTAAGACACAAGTATCTATAGAAAATGAACAACCGAAAAACGCAGCAATCTCTCTCAAGCTCCTGCAGCTACAGTAAGTGAACAGAAAAAGCCCAGAACAGCAGCCCCCACTGATACTTATTCATTAAGCCAGCTCTGGATGTCATTCAAGTGAAGTCCCCCAATTTCACTAACCTCCCAGAACACCATCCTGGCTAACTGAATAGCAATTGGAGCCATGCCTTGATGAAGGTTAGGATTCCTATTTCTCCAAATAGCCCATAGGACAGACGAGAAAAACATCCTGCACCATTTGTTCAAATTTAAGTTCTGCTTGAATTTATCTTGGAACCGAACAATTAGTTGCTCCCAAGAAGAAATTTGCTCCCAGTTCCAATGCAAAAGAACCACTTCAACACACTAATTTTTTTATTTTTTTTGTTAAGTAACACACTAACAGCATATGAACATTCAGTGTTCAATTTTACACCTCAATTGCAGAAGCAGTTATGACAAACAGAAGTGAGATAAATACCCCTCAATTGCAGATTGTATTGGGAAGGAATTCTATTCTGAAGGACGAGACAAGTTGTCAAGCATTGTAATTCACCAAGTTCAGAAAATTCTACTATATACAGAAATTTGCACTGTATGTTGTCCAAAATCATACAAAGCTGTCAATTAGACTTGCTGTCACAACTCCATATGCATCAAACCACTACCAGTATCAACTTAGAATCATAAACCAACACAAACCTATTAAAATAAAGTCTGAACCAAGAGAACAAAGGGAAAGAGCACTTTAGCAATCTCTCATGGAAGATGCAAGCCCAGATAAGCAGAAAACCATGCAATCCTTGGATTCTTGCAGCCAAAACTCAGAACCCACATTCAGGTGGTGTCACCCCGTCTGTGGTGGACCGTGCAAAAAAAAAAAAAAAAAAAAACCAGCCAAAAACCCAATAGCAGATCGAAAGAAAACAGCCCCATCGCCAAAAAGGTTTTGAAAAATGGAAAACCCTAGAAAATGGCTTCAAAAAGTGATGAAATTTTTTGCATGTTACTCACAAAGAACAGATGATCCAGATGGTGTAATTTTTTAGCGCTTCTGACTGTGCAATGCTGATATCAGCATGCCATTAGTGCACCTCCATACTCTTTTTAATTAGAGTGTTGTGGTAATTCTAGCGTTGATTGCTTTCTCTGATACAAGACGGAATGCAAAGTCTACTATGTTTGTGATTAGGGTTAGAGAAGAAGAAAAAAGGCGAGAGAGAAAAATAAGAGAAAAATTCTGTAGATTGAAAAAGAAAGTCAGCACTTTCTCCCTTCTCCTATTTATTAAGGGCAGACTGGTAACTACGAAAGTATCCCAGTCTAGAACCTTTGCCTCCGACTCAAGTATCATACACACATATTCTAACCCATATATATATATATATGTATATATTTTTGATAAGTAAAATGTATTAGAAAGCATTCTAACGGGGAACGCGTCCCAACAACTATACAGAGGTCGAAGCCAGAGACAAGGTCCTAAGGACCCCACGAAACCCAAAAAATCAGTAAAACTCATCAATGGATATACAATTTCTCCCCAAAACCCAACTAAAAAGAGAGCTAATAATATGAAACTTCAAAGCTCCTTAGGAAGATTTCTCCCCTTCGAAAGATCTTCTATTCTGCTCATTCCATAAGCACCACCAAACACAAAGGGGAACCACCCTCCAACACTCACAGGTGTGGGCTCTCACATTATAGCCTCGCTAAGCATCAATCAAATCCCTCGAGGACCGAGGCATAACCCAATGGACGCCGAAAAGGCCAAAGATAAGGCTCCAACAATTGTGATCTACAGGGCAATTCAAAAGAAGGTGATCCACAGACTCGCCACTCCTCTTGCACAAACAACACCAATTGACTGTAATCTGTCTTCTCCTTTTCAAATTATCTAGGGTCAAAATCTTGCCCCAAATAGCAGTCCAGACAAAGAAGGCCACTCTGAGGGGAGCCTTGGAACGCCATATCGTCTTCCAAGGGAAATTAGAACTATGCTCGAATCTCCCCTGAGAGGAAGGCACCCAAACCAGAGAGTCAGTGCCACTATCATCTACCTCCTGTCCGTACAACAGCTCCAACAAACCTGAAACCTCATCCAACTCACAATCCTAAAAGGAACGCCGAAAACGCACATCCCACGCGAGCCTACCATTATTGAGCCGATAACAATTGGCCACCAAAGCATGTCTATCCACGGCAATCCGGAAAATTTTGGGAAAGGAACGAGCCAATGGGCGATCACCACACCATAAGTCCTCCCAGAACCGAACTCCCCTGCCATCCTGTACTTTGAATCTAATATGTTTAGAAAATTCATTCCATCCCTTACGAATGAATTTCCAAACACCCACACCTCCAGCGAATCTGACTGGATCAGAGGACCACCTGCCTCTCTCCTCCCCGTAGCGGCACACAGCCTTCCTCCAAAGGCGATGGCGCTCACTTCCGAATCTGTACAACCACTTTCCTGTTGAAAAGGGCCAACCTCCTAATACCCATACTTCCCAACGGAATTGGCCTGCGCGCTTGATCTCAACGAACAAGATGATACTTGAACTCCTACCCCGTCCACCCCAAAGGAAGTTCTGTTGAAGTCTATCGATCCTTTCAACTATAGAGGCGGGAATCTGAAAAAGAGAGAGAAAGTATGTAGGGAGGCTCGACATTGTACTCTTCAAAAGACCTTCCCGTCCTTCGAAAGATACTGCTTCTTCCAACCAGTCAGTCTCCCTTCAAATTGGTCAATCACAGGATCCCAACCTCCCACCCTCCTTGATGGAGCACCCAATGGCAAACCCAAATAGGAGATAGGAAAAGAGCCCACCCCACACCTAACTACTGCAGCAAGAGTATTGGCACTTGCGCGCAAAGTATCATTGCTTAGGAGCTCTAAGTACGGCGTTTACCATGCCATGAGGAGAGTGGGCGGAAAAAGGGATTCTTGAGGCATGGCGGATTGAACAAGGGTCTCGCCTGGGCGGAGTGGAGGCGGGTCCTTGACCGGCAACTTAGGTGGATAAGTCACTTGCGTTCGGGCCAAGGGAGTAAATGAGGGACACGTGGTACCTTAATACGCTGATGTCCGTCCACTCACGTGCTTGACATGTGCCAAGGGCTCTATAAATAGCAGTACAGTGACATGACAGGCTCATTCAGGACATAAGACCTGGAGACTCTACCACTGTCCCTACTCTCTCATTTATTCCTTTGTCAGAGTTCTCTCCTCTACACTCTCATCCTTTCTTTGCTTTCTATACTCGAAGTCATCTTTGACAATACTCACTTTCAGGACCTTTGCACTCTTACACTTTTAGGAAAAGAATTCCTTTCATTTTACACATCATAGAAAAATTAATCGATATAGATGAAAGAAAAATATAAAATAAGGACACATAAATTGTAACTGGAGATTGTTTTAAAATTTTATTACATCACGATAACTAAAATTCAGTGGTTCTTTATTAAGATTTGATACCACTTGAAATTAAAATGCAGTGAAAATGGGTTTGAATTCTAAGTCAGAGAAACCTGAATTCAGTTGAAGTTGGTTTAAAAATTTTAATTTTATTTGACAAATTTATCCTTAAATTTAATCTGTAGTTCTAAAATTCATCTGCTTTAAGTTTTCTGAGCGAAATTTTTTTGAGCTAAATTTTCAGTTTTCTCAAACTGTACCTAAGACCTTGACTAGGTCATATTATCTACATCTGCCCTTTTAGAGGCATAGCTTCTGCATGCACTGATGACTGCTGCTCCTGGAGACTGCAAATCCTAATTATTTGGCCTATCTGATTGTCGAGACAAGGATGAATTTTATGTACTTCAGATGCCACTTAATATGAATATTGCCTGTAGTTTTCAGATTTTTGTTTGAGTCAAATGATGAAATTTATTGTTAAACTGATATGAATAAATCCTTTTTGAACAAAATTCAGGGGGCACATTAAAATGTGTCAGAATGGTTTCCTTTCTGACTGATAAACGCTTTCTGGCTCAAATATTGGGTCAAATTAAAAGAATACCTATTTCTGCTTCATCTCTAAAACATCTATTTGTAGGGTACCAGTGCTCTGCACGTTATGCAGTGTGGAATTTCAACTCTTCCGTCTGTCAAATTTTTTTTTTTTTTTTTTTTTTTTTTTGTTGTTGAGTTATTTCTATGTTCGCATCAGTTGTGCCGAATTTGCCGTATGCATTAGAAACTGTTGCCTCTGTAGGCCCATTTTGTGGTGCATTTTATTGCTCTTGAGATGATCAAATTGCTTGAAAATTGTTAACATCATCCATTGTTGGTCACCTGATTATAGAATATTTCTTTTGAACAGATAGTGAACGTTCCTGAAAAGGGAGCTAGGAAACATCCTCGCGGTGATAACATTCAGGTATACTAGACCTAAATTTGTATGTGTTCTGCTTTTGATCTACTCATTATCTCATATACAATTTTATGCATGTATGTAGAGCTGTTGAAGTGATTGTACTTTTTGTAGCTATATCTTGTTATTTTCTCAAAGGTTTTGATAATTATTGCCTTCATGAAATATGTTTTTACATCATTTATCTTAATTAGGTCATTGCTTGCTGCAAAATTAGAAGCTTGAATCATGAGAATTTTTTTTGAGTTTGTCAGCAGCTACTTCTTGTAAGTTGTAATTAATGTTAGAAGTTAGGTTATACCTAATTCACCCTAGTTTGGGTAGTGGCCTTTGGATTGTCATCAAGCCAAGAAGCTCGCATTGGCTTTTGTTTGCCGGCTTAGTAAGACGTACAAATCAGGTCCCAAGTGTTTTATCCCAAGTATTTGTAGGAAAAATAATTAAGTATGTGTTTAACTAATTAAACTGATAAATAAATTAAAATTCATTTATTTATATAAAAATAATGCAAGAACTTTTTTTTTTGATAAGTAAAGTTTATTAGAAAGCGTTCAAAAGGGGAACGCATCTTAAGGGCTATACAAAAGCTGAAGCCAAAAGGGGAGTCCTATGGATCCAAAGAACCCAAAAAATCCACGATTTCATCTATAGATATACAATTTCTCCTCACCCAACTATAAAAAGAAAACCAAGGGCCTTGTGGCCAGTGGTATGTCCTCTACCTCCCAAAATGGATGGTGAGGGTTCGAATCTCCAAAGGAGCGAAGTAGGTGTGTGAGTTTCTTGCCAATGAAAAAAAAAAAAAAAAAAAAAAAAAAAAAAAAATAATAATAATAATAATAATAATAATAATAATAGAAAATCTCAGCGCCCTAATGGAGGATTACTCCCCATCAAAATATCTTCTATTCCACTCTTTCCAAAGACTTCACCGTACATAGAGGGGGGTCGCCCTCCAAGAGTTACGAGCGTGGGCCCCCACCCTGTGGTCTCTCTAAGCGTCAATCAAATCTCTTGAAGCTCGGTGCATAACCCAATGTATGCCAAACAAACCAAAAATAAGACTCTAGCAGTCGTGAGCCACAGGGCAATGCAAAAGAAGGTGATCCACACACTCTCCATCATTTTTACACCAGTTGACTGTGATATGTCTTTTCTTTCTCAGATTGTCCAGAGTTAAAATCTTGCCTCTAGCTACAGCCAAATAAAAAAAGCCACCCTGGGGTAAGTCTTCGAGCGACATACCATTTTCCACGGGAAGTTGGAATTGTGAAACTCGGAGAGGCAGAGGAAATAGGAACGGACATGAAATGTTTCTTAAGAAGAAGGCACCCAAATCAAGGAATCCGAACCAGTACCAACCACATCATGTCTATACAAAATCTCCAGCAAACCAGTCACGTTGTCCAACTCCCAATCATGAAATGATCGCTAGATCTCACGTCCCAAGTAAGCTTACCACTATCAAGTCGATAACAGTTAGCTACCAAAGCATGTCTATCAATAGCAATCCTGAACAACCTTGGGAACTAAAGGATAATGGGCGATCTTCACACCAAACATCCTCCCAAAACCAGGCATCCCTTCCCTCTCGAACTCTGAATCTAATGTGCTTAGAGAGAACTCATCCCAGTCCTTGAGAATGGATTTCCACACCCCCACACTGAAAACTGATTTAACTGGCCTAGATGTCCATCCCTCTCTATCCTTCCCAAAACGGCATAAAATAACCCTCCTCCATAACCTATGCCTTTCGCTACCGAATCTCCATAACCACTTGCCAAGGAACACTCTGTTGAAAGGGTCCAACCTCCTAACCCCAAGACCACCCAACTGAAGAGACTTGCAAACCTGCTGCCACAGAACAAGATGATACTCAAACTCCTCCCCTCGGCCGCCCCAAAGAAATTTCCGTTGAAGACTCTTGAGTCTTTCAACAATAGAGGAAGGAATATGGAAAAACAAAAGATAATAAGTTGGAAGACTCGACAGTGTACTCTTCACCAAAGTAACTTTCCCGCCTTTTGAAAGATATTGCTTTTTTCACCCAGCCAACCTTCTGTTGAATAGCTCTATCACCGGGTCTAGCTTCCCACCCTCCTTGCTGAATCACCCAACGGCAAACCCAAATACAAAATAGGGAAGGAGCTCATCCCATACCCTAAAATTGCCGCAAGAGTAGCCACCTCCCGAACCTCCCCCACCGGACTAGTACACTCTTTCCCACTTTAACTCTCAAACTTGAAACTGCTTGAAAGTAAACCAGATTACATCTCAAATATCTCAATTGGGACACCTCTGCCTCAGTAAACCAAGGTGTCATCCATGAAAAACAAGTAAGAGATCTCCATTTGCTGAACCGATTCTGGACCCATCCTGAAACCTTGATGAAGCACAAATGAACCTTCTAAGGCCTCCATAACAATAATGAACAGGAAAGGGGAGAGGAGATCCCCTTGTCTCAAACCTCGAGAGCTACCGAAAAACCCGAATGGAGACCCATTTACCAACACGGAAAATCTAATAGAGGAAACGCAAGCCTCGATCCATCTCCTCCACCTCTCGTTGAAACCTATCTTCTCTAACAGATATGTGATGTTGTGACCTGAATTTGGTGGCTTATAACCCGACGACCCATTGGATGAGCTTTGTGTGGGCTCAAGCCCACTAAAGCTTTTGGGGTTTTGGGGCTTGCTCCTAAGGAAAATTTTTGACCCGTTTTTGCTCATGGGTCGTGGACCCTAATTAATCTGTTGTAGCCCAATATATAAGGGCACTAAGGGTTTGGAGTGGTGGAAGAGAAAGACTCGACATTCATACAGAAACAGAGTGAGGGGCTAAAAACATGTAATCTCCGATTTTACACATAGTGAAAACTTTCGGTAGATCTCAACCGTGGACATAGGTTGTTGCCGAATCATGTATAAATCTTTGTGTTTTTTGTGTGGTGTGTTTACTTTTCTGTCATGATTCTTGATTTTATCTTGGGTTCGTTGCTTTTGTCATAACAAGATAGAACAAAAAGTTCCAGCTAACATGATCATAGCATGGTTGTCAAAATCGCGATTCTAGATCGTAGAATCGCACGATTTTATGATCCTACCAATCCAAAACGAGTCGAACCGTATAAAAATCGTTTCTTGGGTAGTATCGCAATAGAACTGTAGTAGGATCGTGTAGGATTGTGTAGAATCGTATAGAATCAATTCTACATGATTCTACAAGATTCTGACATATTCTTTGTTTGGACTTATTGTTTTTTTTTTTTTTTGGCCTGATTCACTTTCTGAAATGTTGGGCTCTCTAAATAAGAAAGGCCCATAGTCTTGCGGTCCAACCAATAAAAGTCCATATGAGTAAGATAAAAACACTATTGACCCAACTCAAAGATGCATTTTTATTTTTTATTTTTTTGGTATTTGATTAATTCATTGATTGATTTGTTGATTAGGTGAAAAGTTTAAAACTTGATATTATGATTTATGTCAAACTGTTTTATTTTATTTTATTTTATTTTATTTTATTTTTCACTTTTAAGATTCATGAGAATGTTGTCAATTTATTTATTTATTAATTCATTAATTGATTATTTGATTTGATGATTTCTTAGATTAGTTGAAAGCTTGAAACTTGGTACTATGTCATTTTCAAATTGTTTTTTTTTTTTCTCCCCTTACAAGAGATTGTTCTGTAATTTTTGTTTTGGTTTTTTGGGTATTTGATTAATTGTTTTGTTATTTGAATTTTCGAAAACTACTAATTTCTCAAGAGAACACTCGGCAAATGTTTTTCAAAAAAGTTTTCTTGAAACAAAAACAATAGCTCCAAGCCTCCAACCATTTGCGTTTGTACTTTGTTTCGTTAAATGATATCTTATTTGTGTTTCATTTTTATTTTTTATTATCATATAAGTTTCATTTAGAAATTTAGGTAATAAGAAATGTGAGAGAATGCAAGGATTTGAACCTTGATCTCTTCACACACATCTTCACAACTTGTAAATTGCATAGTTGGCATGAAAATGAATGCAAGAATTCAAACCTTTGTCTTCTCACACACAACTTCACAACTCACAAATTGCATAGTTTTCGCGAGAACTCTACACTTTGAGCTATGTTATCTTTTATATTATATTTGGACTTTGGAGTGGTGCTTTTATGCAATTTTTTGTGTTTTGGACTTATTCTTACCATCTAGGAAGCACGAACACGCTTAAAAGGGAAAAGAATCTGTGTCGGACATGCCTAAATACGTGTCCGAATAGTTTATATATTTCGAATATCCGGACACGCTGTGGACACGCTTCTGACACACCATGGATATGTGTCCACCACGCATGTCCCACTCTTTGGGATTTTTAAGAAAGTTTTGGAAACAATGTTGAGTTGAAGTGTAAATATTAAGAGTTCTTTAATTTTATAACTACTTAAAAACTTCTTGTTTCATAAAACTATTTTATATTCAAACAATTATTTATTTATTCTTATATTTTAGTTCAAAGGTTCTAACCCTTGCATGATCATCTTTGAGTCTCTTGTTGTCCCGGCTACCGGTGAATGGTCTCTCTACCTCTCTCTCCTCTTTTCTCTCTTATTCTTTATTCCTTCTCTTTTCTTTCTTCTTCCTGTTCTTTGCAAACCCTAAATACTTTTTTTTCCTTTCACAATAAATTTCTTTTTGTCTCTTTGCCCTTTTTCCTTTTTCCTAATTCTTTTCCTAACAAAACCCTAATCCTCTTTGTCTCTATGTTTGTTTGTTCTTTCTCTTTCTTAACCATCTTTCTATCATTCTTTCTTTTTTCCAGCAAAACACATTTTTTTTTTTTCATTATGAGATTGTAAAAAATAATATTACTCTTAATTTCTTAAAGTACAACATCATATATATATAGAAAATATATTTCTTATTTGCTGTGTCCCCGCCATGTCTGTATCTTAATTTTTTAGGATTTGCCGTATCGTCGTATCCGTGTCGTGTCGTATCCGTGTCTCGTATCCGTTTCCGTG